ATTACTATCAATCTGGATTTAATTACTAACAATCACTACTGATAACTTTTTAGAGAGGTTATGTTTTCGTGTATTGTCATTGCCACTGAAAGTGATGCAACGACTTGTTGTATAATCAGCTGATTTCCTGTAATTACGTGTTTGTTAAACTTCGTTAAATATTACATTGCTAGCAGCATTCTTACCATAAATAATATTGTATCAGGTACAATTCGGCAAATATTTCATTTATTTTTGGACTTCCACCAACTTAATTAAGAATACGCGAGTATCAACATGAACAAGTCGGATCAACAATTAAATTGGTCAACTGATCAGCTGATCAGCTGATTAGTTGACGTTCGAAGCATTACAATTTTAATTCTTTTCTCTCAATACTTGAACCTCATTGGTCCGTTACCTGTGTGGATATGAGAAAACTATGCGGATATGAAATGAAACTATGCGGATATGAAAGTAAACAGCTGGAAAGTGAATCTTTTCAATTCTAAGAACTGGACTGAAATGGCTACTTTAAAAAACGGTCGTAGGTAAATATATTTTACATAACTATGTCGTAGGATTATTCATTCTTAAATTTAATGAAAGCAACCTACAATCATTACTTATTCTCTATAAGAATAACACTGTAGTGATTTAAATTGAAATGTTTTGGAATTTTCTCCCCGAACATTAATTAAGCTTACAGCAACGCCTCATTACGCCAAATTATCCATTGTTTTAACCTACAAAATGTTTCAAATGTAGTTTCAATATCGGGATATTAAAAAAAAATCTATACAATATTTCTGTTATATTAATGGCATATTTTATAGGAGTTACTTATTATCACAACCAAAATCTAGAAACTTTATACAAAATCAATGTTGAAACATATTTACATCTTGAAAATATAAGATGTTTTACTTTATAACAAATTAAACACTATTTAGTGGGAAAATGAGCTGGTTAATTGGTCATTTGAAAATATTGCACATTGATTGGAATGCCATTCATTGTGTTGAAACAATTTGAAAATAAATTCTCTCCCAAATTGTTTCGCAATAAAACTGTTGCATCTGATTGCACGGCCAACATTCTCTCAGAGGGTATTGAACGTTACGATTAATTTTCAATTAACAAAACTCGGCCTGTAAATTGAATGCAGTAACTGTTTAATTTTCTCGTTAATAAAAAGTATATTGCCTATCAATTTGATTGAAATGTTTTATTTTAAAACTAATTAAACTATGTATATCCTATTTTGGTGGTTTGCTAACCACATAAACTTAAAAATATAGTTTTTGTATTAATGATTATGTGTGTGAGGCTTAACAGAGTAATTACATCCAAATAGGACATTTAACGCCTAAAACGGGTGATTAGTAAGTAATACTTTAAGGAAGTCCTGTTATTTTAAATTCAAACAAGAATTGACAATTTTTAAATAGCTAAGCAGAATTTTAGTTACCAACCGTAGAAAAAGATATTAATGGAGTGTGCAAGTACTATATTTCAATTTATATTTCCACTTTTGTTTCAAATCAAATACTAAACGTGGCTCGTGTACATTAATTTTAAATATATTCATGTTATATAAAAGTATGGTTGGTACTTTTTCGCAAGTTCTGAATCCAGATTAATATTTATATTAAAACATATGTGCTGTGTCAAGTTTCTTTTTTAAAAGCGGTAGTAGGATCATGGCTGTAGAATAACAATATTGTATATGCTTTTATTGTTTTTACTTCGGCTAACCATATTATTACATTATTATAAAAACGGTAATACAACAGGTAATCTTTTTACTGGCTTGTGTACAGTCCTTTTAACTACTTATTTGGCTAGTTACAAAACAATTTTAGATTGATTACTACAGTATTAAAAACCCTAAAATAGTTTTAATGATTAAAAGTAATAATACTACGTGGGTTTCGGTGGGCACTCATCTAAATGTAGGCATACTTGAATAAATTAAAAAAAAGAATAACTGTGTCCTTCTTTTAAAATTGGAACACATGTCAAACATACGAATTCTGTTTTGCTCCATCAAATCATATAACCCATCTGTAACCATTGTAAAATAATGTTTACTTTTTTCATACTCTACAAAAACCATTATTTCATTCACAAATAACATTTCAACAAATTCTAAGCCCATACTCTTTGGCTTATCCTACAAAGTATTACATTAGAACCAGGAGATCGAGCTTTGCTCGGATTTGATTAAGTATTAAATTTATTCAATAAGTTATTTAGCTAAATAACTATTTATTATTTCCAGTAATCAATGCAGAAAAATTGTGGATGATACAAAAGAAACTTTTTAAGACACCTTTGTAAATTCATAGATTGCAATAAAAATTACCTGTATCAGCTGTTTAAAAAATGTATTGACGATAGCATGGACACTTGGGGCTGTAGGGTGAAAGCGGGATTTTTCCCAGCCTTGTGACCAAACCCAATCGATTTCTCGTGGCCAAATATCTCAGTCTAAACAAAATATTAAACATCCTTGAACGAAAATAAAAGTTTGTCTGTATACGCGCTTGTTTTAGACTATAGGATTTATTATAAGAAAATTTGTGATACAATATATTTTTAAGTAGCTCACTCTATGAAAGGTTAACGTAGTTAAGTTTTGTTTAATTTAAAAAATCCATCCATCTGTACATTATAATAAAAGTCAGTTTTCAAAATCACATATACACGTTGTGCTCTCACTCTGGAACTTAACGTTTTACAACTTGCAGTCAATATATTTTAGCACAACACATTAATCTTAATACATCACCATTTCACCAATTGAACTGTAACATTCTTTTTACCTATGGCCACTTATTTTCAAAAAAAATTTCCTGAACCTAAGTATTATTAAGTAACAATACTTTTAAGACAATTTTCGGCATTATGCCTTCCATATAGTGCGAACACGCTCATTTCCATGGCAGTAAAGCTTCTATCTCATACTATTGTGGTCAATGCACACGTATAAACGGACGGGTCGACAAAGCCAGGCTTCCGCTGCTATATTGGCCAGTGTGATTAACTTTCAATTAACAAAACAAGACCACTTCCCCCCCCCCCCTTCAATAGGGTTATTTACTCTCCTATAGATTTCGTTACATGCAGCCAACTCAGTTAGATAACGTGGACGTCATTAGTGCGTAAATAATTGATATCGTATTGTATTTTGGATTGTGTAGTTTAAAATTGGTAATTGATATTAAGCTACGTTAATATCAATTACCAAACACATTTCATAGGATAAGTGGCAAAGTGTCGTTGTCTGTTTTTGAATAGTGAAACGAAAATAACTCCTAACTCAACCTAACCTAGACTGAATCCAATCTTCAATTAAGTTTGCCCACCTTCTTCTTGACCTAACCTAACCCAACCTAACCTAGACTGAATCCAATCTTCAATTAAGTTTTCCTACCTTCTTCTGGATTAAGGGGTGAGTAAGCGAGGACAGCCGCCGATGAGTTTTTTTACCATTTCAAAATATTTTAACACCAGAGTAATCTATAATCTATTATATTATTTAAGTGATACAATCAAATTTTATGTAAATTGTTAAAGGCCATTTACCAAAAAGAAATATAGGCATATTGCATATCAAAATGAAGGTGAGAGTGTGTAGATTTGCCGAAAAGTATTGATATAGACGAACTCCCTAAGGACTCTGCCCCACAGGCTGATTTCCAAAGGGCTTTGCCTTGCATGTTTTGGAAGTTAAAGTTATTTGATTAATTTAGTGAACGCCAGCTGGCAAATGCAATTAACAATAGTTTGTTTATTTACATTTTTTTTACTTATTTTAGTATTTACTTTTATGTTCTTAAAAGAGGTGCGGTGAATGAACAGTGATATTTCTAGCTGTTTGATACAAGTGAGTGATTAAAGGTGTTCGAAACACGATGAATATGACATTAACAAACCATGTATGTTGTTCGTTCCAAGAGGTTGTCACGATCTTTAACAGGTCGTTATATCATTGAAAAGTATTTAAGTAAAGTATTAACGTGTTAAAGACGTTGTGAAAGAGAGCGGCGAGTTCAGGTACAACCGTACCCAACTCAGCCAAAAGGTTCCACTGCTTTTAACATCCTTTCAGATGACAATTTCTCGTACTTGACCGCTTTAAATGAAGTATAAAGTAAAAGTTGATTAAATTAATTTAATCTTGGCTTATGTACACCCGTGAATTCGCAGGTCGATCCTCTTGTTGTTATTTAAATAGCTAGTAAACTGTAGGGTTAAAAATTGTCTTTGTAGTTTTTTAATTGTTATACACCCCTGGTGACCTATTTTTGGTTGGAAACTATTATTGACATATTTCAAAACTAAAACCTTTATAGAATTTTGGAACTTTACTGGTTTTGTCATTTCTACATCATCTTGTTCAACCGTAAAATCACTTTCTTCATGTATTTTTTTTACTTAAATGATTGTGAGCGCATAATTACCTCCATAGCTCGTCGCCATTGTTGTGCACTCCAGCTGATAAACCTTTGTGACCAACGCAGCTGCACTCAACCTTCACAAAATGGAGCTTTTATTCAAATGTCTCTTTTTTAAATTCGGCATAATTTAAACGCTTTTGGTTAATTATGCACCCACATCATTCAGAATTAATGCGTTTGGTACGAAACGGTTTGGCTGAAACTGTATATTTCTTGTATTTTCGTGATTCCTAAAAAACTTACTCTCCTAATATATCTGAAAATTACCTTAATTTTTTTATATTTTGATTGGCGTGTATAGTTATTCAGTATGAACATCAAGGGATTTTTTCTAGCTGTCCCTGATCATTGGGACATACAAATCCTGGCCAATTCAATAGCTGATCTTAGACAGTAACAAAGCTACACAAAATATCTTCTCACACCATTCTGCACTCATCTTTCAATTTGGGTGGAAATACGCAACTAGGTGGCGTCCCCATCTCAATTAATTATATTTGATTGAATTAATGATTGTGGATGCAGTAAGATTAAACAAGTAAAAATATGTTTCAGGTTTCGCTGAAAGATGAACGGAATGGCGACTTCTATCACCGCATGTGTCGTCTGGCTTCTCATACAGTGCCTTGGATCAAGAGTAGCTAAAGGTAATATAAATATTTATGATGATAGTAGAAATAATAAACAATAATAAACTAGTACCTACCTATTATGGTCGTTATTTTCCGCAGTCGTGCGAAGCGAAAATGTGATGTATTATTTATATTTCACAATAATGATCCTTAAACTTATTTATATTTTGCTATTTACAATTGAGAAATCCTATAGAATTTTTGTTATTTTAAGCAGAAAATCTTGTTTAGCATGCCACTTTTTAAATTTGATGTTTAATTATTATAACGCTATTGTAAAAAAACGATAACACGAATTAGCTAGTGAGTCAGTGGCTCAGTCGGTAGCGACACTAACTTCGAGGACAATGCAGCGATGTCGTTGGTTCGAATCCTGGTTCCTGCCGTCAATACAGTTCACCTTCGTACTGTACCGACTCACCCCTTGCTTTGCTGGATACGTTCCACGCACAGATCTGTAGTTTATCTGGACGGACAAAGGAAAGACTAAACGTTATTGGTTTATTTTAAACTTTTTTTACATAAAAAAAACTGCGCTTACTGCTGCAAGATCCCCGTATATTAAACTCATTGTAATTAGTTTTCCATCTTTAAAAGCTTCCAAGAGACTAGTTGTTTCCATCTACCTAAAGATTACTTTTAAATAATATAATTAACTGTGATATTACTCCGTTGCTGTATATAAAAATAGTTATTTTCTGTGCCAAGGACAACGGGGGAAGTTTATGATTGGGATTTGCATGTCGCTTTGCAATTAATCTATAAATAAATACGTCTTTAAAGTTAGGCTACAAGGTTCTTATTAGAATGGCGTGAGAAATAAAACACGTTCTTTATGATTAAAATAAAATGCATAAGTAGGTATAAAGTAAAAAGTAAATATTGAATTTGGTATAATCTTTTTTCCGAGTAAATTAGTACCTATATCTAAAAATGGTATGTTTATGTGTTAGGATGTGCATTGATCAAAGAAAGTGTGTTCAATAAATCCTGATTGACTTGAAGACACGACCTAACCTTAGCTACCTAACCTTAACCTAATCTAACCTAACCTTATCTAACCTAACTCTTAGGAACACTTTGTGATTTGGTAAAAAACAATGTTAATGATATTTAACCTAACCTAAACTAACCTAACCTAAACTAAACTAACCTTACCTAACCTAACCAAGCTAATTATAATTTTTAACCAATATGTGAAATGGGTTTAAAGATATATTAATAAACCAACACTATAGTAAGATAATAATAAAAAAAACTGCGGAGAGAGAGCTGCATGTTGGTTTCGTTATACAGCATTTTGAGTGTTTTCATGAATAAACCGCATACTAACAATAATCGTTAAACTATAAATTCAAAATTATTCATGCATTTCATGCGGGAAAACGTTTGGACTAACTAAGAATTTTCAGATATTCCTGAACGAAAAAATAATACTTTAAGCTTTTTAAATGCAAACTTATTATAGTGACTAGACATTATAAAAATCTGTTTTTTGTTGCAGTGACAAAAAATACAAAATATTTTCTATTCCAAACACTCTTTTATTCATTCGTGTCCAAACGACAACTGCAGTTATTGATATTTGATTTCACTGCTTTGTTTGAAATATAAAAAGTCTGAACACAAATCAAAAATTGGTTCGATGATTTTCAATGCTCCGTTCCAAGAGTGGTATGTCAAAAACTGTGTTGTTTATTCAATTGTGCGACTCACGAGAGAATGGCGTTGTCAAAACAATATCGAGCATTCTCTAAAGCAAACCTCATTTTTGCTGTTTTAAATAAAACTCAAGTATTCAAAGTAAGTTTAGATTTTATTGTTACCTAAACATTTAAGAAATACTTCAATTTTAAAGTTGTTCATGTACTGGTGTTTTTATAACTATAATTTTAAATTGAATTTTTAAGTGTTTGTTAAAGTTATCATTTTTGCAGCTCTGATTTTTCCTAGAGAATTCTGTAATCTGTAGCACTAGACGTTTGTAGTTTGAACTTAAAAGTATGAAAATAGGAAAATAAGAGTTATGTGTACTTTAGTATGAAGGTAAAATGTATAACAATAAATGTTACATATGTTGTAATAAATAGGAAAAACCATTAGCTGACAAAAGATTGGTTGAAACTAAAAATTTATGTGTAATGTTTTTATTAGTATATTATATGATAATTTATCTAATTATCTTAAATATTGGTTGAAAAGTAAAAATAAATTTCGAAAACCTGTCGTAATCGAGCAAAATTTTTGAAACATCCTCATGAGAAGGTATGTTAATGTCCCTTTTGACATCATTACAATCGAAACATTGTCATAAGTTTGATCAATAAAATCAACAAACTTACAAGCAGTTGTTGAACCAAATAACACGCCATATTTAATGGTAGTATTTTGTTTGAAGGTACAAAGTTCTTGGCAATAATGTTCCGGTTTAAACTTATCTAGGCCAAGGATATTTCGTTGAAGTTCTTATCTGCCAATTGCATGCCTTCTTGCAATTATGAAATAAAATATTGTACCTTGGAACGGTATTTTATGCAACTAGTATATAAAGAACGGTAATCAGTAATATTTCTTTGCTGACGACATTTTGTATGAAGGATATTTATTTTTTATGGGAGGAAGGAAAAACATCGACAAATAATAAAGTATTCTTATTTTGATAATTATTTATTTTAACCTAATTAGTAAACAATTATTTTAAATATTTTTATTCACTTGCAATAAGTTTAACTTATACGTCTTGATCAAAACAGCCCTGTTGTATTTTGACAGTTTTCAAAATATACAGAAGCAAAAGTGTAATACGTGACGTGATTATAGGGATTATTGCTAATTTGTTACATAACAATAAAAAAGGTGATAGAAATTGTCTAAAATAATCTATTACGCAGATAAAGCGTAAGCAAAAGTAAACTTCAAATAAATTTATTGCTAATTAAAATTTTGAAAACTATATATTTTGGTGAGTCGGTGCTGACACGGACTTCAAATCCAAGGCTGTCGTGGGATCGAATCCCGTCACTGCCGTAAACATTATATCAGTAGGCTATAGTTCACCTCCGTGCTGTACTGGCTCATCCTTTGCCTTGCTGGATACTTTCCACTTACGTGCAATTAAAAACACGGGCAGTTAGTGTATGTGGACGGGCGAATGCAAGGTTAAAAGAAGCCACCATAGCATGAATTCTACAAGTACTTAAAGTATATTTTGACAAATTAAACATTTATTTAAAAAAACTGTTGACGATAGATATTAGTGAGGTGACCATTAAATATGTTAAACAAATACAACACACCAAACAACTATAACATTTTTTTCCTGCAAACGATGTTCAAATGTGTAAGGTTGAACATTATACACGGAACGAGCTGGTCTAGTGGTAGAACGCGGGCCTTCGGCACCTGAGGTCCAGGGTTCACATCCCGCCACCAATTGAGTTTTTAATGTGATAAAGCCACAACCATCTATAGTCAAGATGGTAAACCATTTAGTATAGTAAACCATTTAGTAGATAGTAAACCAAGTAATGTGTAAACCATTTCCGGGCTAGAACTAGCATCCTAGGATGTGAAGGTGGGACAAAAAAAATTATAAAAATATTGTTGGGATAAAGAAGATTATTTCCAACTAGATTCACCCGATTAGGTAAATGCAGTTTATATTATACCGAGGGAGATAAGGTTGAACATAGGTTTGCAACGTTGTGGTGTTTGGTCGACAAAAAGTAATGTATGCAAACTCAAGCTCACACGTAATCTCGGGTCGTTATAGCAGCCTGTCCGCCATAACCAAATATACCCCGTGTTAAATCTGATTCTTTAGGGTTCTCTAAGCTTCCTTGCTATATTTTTGCTGATAAATTATTCGAAGACTGAGATATTTCAAGTTTCAAATTAGCTATCGGCACCTGGATTTGTTTTACATAGTCTTGAATTTATTCCGATAAAAAAACAATAAGATTTTAATATAAAGAATAGTAAAAAAAGTTTTAAGTAAACAGAAATGTGTAAAATTTTAAGTATGAAAATGATAGTTTAGTAAACATGGTCAATTCGCGTATAATTCAATTATTTTCGTTCAATTTATTTACTAAAGGCTTTTTTAATTGATATTAATAGACATTATGATGAAATGAAAAAAGTATGAACAATGGTTAATGCAAATTACTTTTTATGAACTATTGATTGTATTGATTGTAAAATACAAATTTTTGAAATATTTGCTAGAAGCTCCTATGCGAGATGCAATATTTCAATATCATAAGATAAATTTTGCAAATCAGCTGTAGGTATTGTGTTAGGTTACTCATGGAAAGTCTGTTAGATCTCTCATCCTCTTTCATTTCTATTTATTTAAGTATTTCATCTAGTGACTCGAGTAATGACCGTAAAAAGATACAGTCATACTGTATGTCTCTCACATCCTTTGAAATTGTATTGTTGTATGCATATTCAATACTCTTGAATGTTTATTCGTGTACAAATGACTAGTTCGACAAGAGACGAGATTAAACCTTCTATGAGTCTATGAATCTAAATAGATAAAATTAGGTCAAGCCAGGACTGAAAGCTTCTGTCACCTAGGTTGTTTGTCGTTTCAAAGTCAATGTATGCAAACTTTGTTTCATCCAACAGTGCTAACCTACATACACAGCTTGTATGCAGCATAGCTATTTGTTTATCACTCTATTAATATACTCTAGCTTGGAAATAAAATTTCCGGACTTTAATTATTGTATATTAGATTAATAATTTTCAAATACTTGTTGAAAATTAATGTTTACAATAGTATATGACTTATTTTCAATAATTGTGTTAATAATTTATCGTTAAACATAAAACATATTATCTTTGCCAATACTATAGCAAATAATACATTATAGGGGAAACCCATATTCATAGTGTAGTAACTTTACTCAGTATGTTGTTGCTACAGTCTATTACATTAAACGATATTATACCATTGACTATGGTATACTCAATTAGACATCTACAGTATATGGACTAGCTGTTGC